CCAAATCTTTTGAGCATGAAGTAACAACCTGTCATCACAAACTGAATATCTGTTATTTCCCTCTTGACAGTTCGGAAAAGCAGTAGTATAGTAGTGATATATTATTATGTACTTTACAATGAAGAATTCAACTACAAAATACCAGTTATCTAGTACTTGTAAATATTCAAAATTGACCTTAAAGGTGGGGTAGGTAAGTTTGAGAAACCGGCTCGAGATACACTTTTTGTTATATTCCATGGAATGCTCTTAACATCCCGATAGCAATGAATATCTTAAGAAAAAAATCCATAAAAAAATGTCATCTGTGGAAGCCGTAATACTGTAAAAAGCACGACCAATCATTTTAGCCGGCCCGGCTAAAATAACTGGATGGCCTACCTGCCTGTCAGCCTTCCATCTGTGCACAAACTTATCTCGTGCCCTCATTGGTCATGTGCGCGTTCGTGTGTGTTGGAGGAGGGGCTCTGTAAGGAAATGGCAGATTTTCTCCGGTTGTGTATTTTCAAATTCTAGCGCAGTCGAGCTGGTTTCTCCAAAATGACCTACCCCACCTTTAAGATAATCTTTAAACCCTGGTGTGGTAGAGCTTTCATTCATATATAAACAAAGGCACTCTTTCTAATCGGAATAGTCATCACATTTAATGTACTTTAGGAGGGTTTCTCTGCTGGCAAAAACAGTAGCGGGTCATTTTTTTTACACTTAATACAACACAAGCGTTAAGCGGCTAACAAAGTCAGACAATAGCACAGAGAGGAGCTGCTTGTATGCAGAGAGGCAGGTGTTAAATCAGCGCGGCTCCTACAGCGGCTAATGTCAGCCCTCTGCCATTAAAAGTGGGGTAAACACTGCCACGAGAGACTGTCAACATTTAGAGCAAAGACTCTTAACAGACACAAAACACTTGTGTCATTCTATACGTCTCGCAGGCTGTTTCCTGCTTTCTCTCTCCGTGTCTCTCGCTTCCTCCCCAGCCTGACCTAATCAGTGATAAGTTGAGTGCTTTTGTCAACAGCACAGCCCCTTAATTAGCAGCTATAAGCTCATGTGTAAGCATCACTGTACTGTGTGAATGTTCATGTGTGTGCGTATAATGTATAGCTAGCCTCCAGATTGACCTCAACTCCGCGCCAATCAGTCAGCTAATAAGTGAACATAGTCTCCTGCGTATCCAAATGGAGAGGTTTAATGGGTATTAGACTTGGAGGGGCTGAACAGGTAAGTGAGGATAACTCAAAGATGACTATGAAGCCAGCAAAGCTTTGAAACAAGGGATGGGAGTCATTGCACAATTCAATTTGTGTGTTTACGTCTGTTAAACGTGTCTACAATGGAAGAAAGTTGTTGTTTTAAAAAAAAATACACACACATTTCCCAGTATGTATAAACGGTATCCAATTCCACCAGCTCCAGATGACTAATACACCAGAATTTCACCTCCACATATTTCTCAATTCCTTCTCCTGTAATAGAAAACATTATTATCGTCAAGGCCAGCATCAGGTGTGTGTTGTGAATGTGGTGTGTGTGTGTGTGTGTGTGTGTGTGTGTGTGTGTGGGTAGCTCCCACTCTGCCATGTCAACTCATACTCGATGGCTTTCTAAATTTGAAAAAAAAGGAGAGAAAAAATGCTCTCAGGGACTTTGCTGCATTCCACTTCATGAGCACAAACAAACGGACCAAAAAGCCATTCTGGAGGGGGGGGAGGGAGTGGGAGGGGGAGACCAGAGAAAGCCCCTTAAAAAACAGAGGGAGATAAAGAGGAGAGGGGGGGGGGGGAGAAAAAGGAAGCAGGAAGGCAAGCAGACGGTGCTGAAAAACCAAAGTGACTCCACTACCGATAATGAGCGGATCATTTAAAAAGCCCTCCTCAAATTGCCTCGAGGAGTAGAAGAGAGAGGAAAAGGCTTGAAAGGTTTTGAGAGATTTTGGGCGATGGACGAAGTGGTGAAGGGGGGGGGGGGGGGGGGGGGGGGGTTACAAGATGGAGCAGGTTACGGGTAAACATGTTGGGCTGTCGAATACTCACCTACTGTACGCTCACACATCTACGCTTGAATCTGTGTATGAGGCTGTAGGTCAAACTGTCAGGCATGTAGTCGACCACCTGAGCCCACCTGGCACACACCATCTGTACCTATGAGTGAGAAAAAGTGTGTGTGCATGCCTGAATGTACTATCTGCACAGGTTTTGGCTGATGTAATGAATGTATGACCACTTTTATACTGTCAAATCTTTCCCATCTTCGCTTCAGCCTTCAAACTAAAGACCATAAATATGTCACATTTCCTGTCATTGCTACATAAGGCAGCCACCAAAGCGTAGCCTGAATTATTTTACATAAAAATAGAACATGGAATGCAAATTTCCAGTGTTGTGAAATGAAAGTAAATTAAATACAAAGGATAAACAAAAACAGGCAACCCATTTTGCCCAAATCAAATCAAATTCCTCTTTATTTGACCTTGTACTTCAAAAACAAAAAGGAAGATGTGTGAAGACTTTTTTGGGGAGGCTCAGAAATTGAGGCACCAATTACGTGTGTTAGGGCAGAGACTGCGTTGATATACATTATGTTAGTGAACGTGTGTATGTGTGTGTGTTGTCAGCGGCAGTGTGCCATGCTGCAGTGGCAACCAGCCCGAGGCCCTGGGGATGCCAGTTAGCTGGCGGCAGAGTATCAACAAAGCACAACATGACACAACATGGCTGTCCTGCAGCTGAGCCCACCGTGATTGTAGTGAGGGAGATTTGTTTTTATTTGTCTATGTGTGTTTATGTGTGCTCTGATCTGTGTGTGGGCAGAGGCCTGTACTACAAAGCCGGATTTTTTCGCTTAGCGAGCTAACTTCAGGAAAAACTCTGGGTTTCCGGTCCTACGACGCTGGTTCTCTTCTTACCGGGCTAGATCTCCATGGTAACTTATGCTTAATGGCTAACCTGCTCCGGAGCATATTATATATATATATATATTATAGTTCACTTTTCATTCAGGAAGTATGACGCTGCACTGTCAGTACGCTTCTCCATGTTTGTGATTGGTCAAATGTTGCTAACCCCGCCCCTTTCATGTGAACGCGCACTCAGCCGGACAGAGAAACCCTGGCTTGAGTTACCGAGTTGATAACCAGCGTCGTAGGACCGCTTAGCGAGATCGCGTTTGTTTTGGATTAGGTAAGCCGGGTAACTCAAACATATCCAGGGTATGTTGAACTGGATTCGTAGTACAGGCCTCAGGTCGGATGTGGATGGAGGATATCCTTTTATTCTGGACAGTATGTGTATTTATGGCAGATATTTGGGAGAGGGTGCATGGTGTCATGTCGGCCTATTAAAATAAGAAAAAAAGTCTGAAATGTTTTTTCTTTTTTGCACACATTTGTGTACGTGCAACTGAAATCTATGGTCACAAGTGTCACTTTTCCCATCTTAAATGCTACTACATTCATTATTTTCATATTAATAGAGGGTATGGGAGCTGTTTAAGCAACAAAGCTCTAATAAATCCACTTTTCTCCGCCTAACCAACAGAAAAAGCAGACGATATAGTAGCATAGATAGTAACTAGCTGGGGATAGGCGAAAATAGTCAAGTATTTGTCTGATAAACAGCAGATATATTTCCCACAGGAAAAGATGCAATGAAGTCATCTTTAAAAAAGGTATAAACTACTACACTGCAAACAGGAAAACACGAGCACACGCAGATACGTCTAAGTCGTTGTGGTGGGAGTTTGTGACACTGTGCATTGAGCTTTTTCTGTCAAAGTATTAACTTAAATAACTCTTATGTGCATGAAGGTTGCTAAATCAAATATAAAAATAATTTCTATGTTAAAAAGAACTTGTCGTCCTTCATCATCCACCCCTCACTTCCTCCCAGTCTTCACTCTTTCCCTTATGTCCTATTCTTCCACCCTGTGCTCGCCTTTCTCCCCCTCGCCTCTTTTCCTCCCCTCTCCATCTTGACACAGTGCACTGAGCCTAATCGTGGATAATTGGGTGGGAGGGGCAGTGGGCCGGCCCTGCCTTTGTGTGCAAAGGGCAAGTGGTCAAGTTAATGGGGCCCTTGTGTGGAGCAGGGAGCACTCTGTCTCTCTTTCTCTCGGTTCGATCACTCACTCGGCCAGTCAATCTCAGACTCTCAGTCAGCTTCTGTTTTCTTTCACGGCTGAAGCTTTTTTCCCCGCTGCTTCGATCTAGTTTCACCTCACTTCTCCTCTACCTCGCAGCCTTTCAATGTGTCCCATTTCTTTTCTCTCCTCCTCTTCTTGTCTTTTACAGCTTTTTCTATCTCTTCTCTCTGTCTATCTAGCAAAGTGTTGGGGAGGAGAGAACAGACCTCTTTAAAATATCAAAAGACAGATCAGGAGGCCTCGGCGGTCCCTCCCTTTCTCCCAACTCTCCCTCCTTCTGACTGATAAACAGAAGAGTGAGCCTGCAGGATTAGCTGCTGTGTACTGCCTTCCCTCCCTCCTTTATCCCGCTCTCTGTTCTTCCTGTGGAGGGGTAGACTGTTGACTGGGCTTGATATGTGTGTGTGTGTGTGTGTGTGTGTGTGTGTGTGTGTGTGTGTGTGTGTGTGTGTGTGTGTGTGTGTGTGTGTGTTACCTCGTCTGGCACCAGCTTAGCCTGCAGGAGGCCATTGTGTTTGAAACACAGGCCACAGCCGATCAGGACCCAAAGGAAACTTTATTATTTGTGAACATTTAACACTGAATTGTTGACAATAGAACACACACTCATGTTTAAACAAGCAGCTTTGTCAATCAGCTCCATGAAATAAGCCTTTGTTATTATAATAATCATTACAGAAAATCTAATAACAGCATTTGGACGGAGAATAATTGTTGTTATTGTGAAAAGTAATTCAATTTATTTGTAAAAATAAAAATGCTTTTGCTATTGTGTTCAAGGCTGTAGCGAAATGTGTTAAATGTTGCTTTGTAAATCTTCTGAATCAATTTAAAAAGGAAAAAAAAACTAGAAGCCCACATTTCTTGAAGAAAATGTCTTTATTTTCATTCTTTCACAAAAAACACACCCACCCATAGACAGCAAATCACAACATTCATTACCCATTGATTACAGTGAAGCAGAGAGAGTCTGATATACTGAAAGAAGAAACTCACTGTCGGCCATGTCCACACTTAAGAGGATACATGAAAAATATTTAATTAAAGAATACTTGTTTGTGTTTCTTTTGTCAAACCCTCAGAACAATACAAATCACAAGATCATTCTAAATCAATATTTAATAAGTATTTGGAATTTGAGTGTCCTTATGCAGTGAAATGCTACAGAAAATGCTCCAACTTAAGTCCATGTTACAGTTCCTTATAGTTCTGTTTTTGGTGGTCCATTTAAAAAGATAAATTCAGAATGGTTAGAAGTACTCCAATTCAAAGGTGATCTGGATTAGTGTGGACATGCCGTGCAAATGACTAACAAATCTGTTTGATAACTCAAATCATAGCCTGACAGAAACATCCCACAACACATACATCTGTTGGAATAAAACATTCCTGTGTGATGTTACCCACGGTAATACTCTGCTGCAGCACTCTCTCTGAATAACACTGACTGTCAGTGTTTCCTGCTGATGTCACAGTGAGAAGTGTCCGCGCACACAGCACGAACATCACGACAAGAAGTGACCAAATCACCGAGTAAAAAACGAGAAGCCACTGCAAATCATGGGTGCACCCGGTGAACACTTTGCCAAAAATAGAGGCAGTAATGTTGCAAGAAGCAGCAACGCAGAGCGGAGAACAGTGTTGCAAAATGACATCACTGTCAGTAGTGGTGATGTCCCACTACACAGTGATGAAGTCACCGTGGAGATGGTGTTAGCCCGCAGATATCAAAGGTACACAGCAAAATGCAATACAGATACAAATGTAATTAAACACACTTTGCAATAGGAACATTTCTGCACTGCAAGTCCTCAAAGCATTGAGACCACTGATAAAGCTGACTTCATTGACTTTTCTGAGTACACACAGGGAATACCTCCCATATCTGAAGGTGGATTATTGTATTCAACATGAGGGGTGTAAACAGCAGCCATGGGGAGATACTGCATAGCTTCTTGGCTGTTGCATACAGCAATGGATCACAGTGAAAAATGGAAAACACTTTACTAGTGATAGGTACAACTTTAGGCCACTGGACCACTGACACTTGGCGTTTCTTTAATACCACAAGAAACAGGAAACGGCTGAATACATGGAAAAAGACCTGAGTAAACTTGTGCTGATAGATAATAAAACCAACAGACAATGGAAAAGCAATTGGTCGGACATGTGTGAAAGTCTTTGCTCTTGAGGCTATAAAGAGAGTATTTGACTTTCAAGAACTAAGGTTACATATAGGTAATCAATTTGAAATCAAAATCTAACCCCCGGATGTCCACTGGATGTTCAAGCAGTGTGTTTTCAAGCAGCAGTAGTTTTTAATACAAACTTTGTGGTAACATATGCTTTGTTTTGTTTTAGCGACCTTGTGCAGCAAGCCATATTTGCTTTCTAAGAAATTGTAGCATTCAGACTTATACCGAGTGGTGACATAACAAAAGCAAGACAAACTGTTTTGCTGTGAATGTGTAAAGACAAATAAAATACCATAACAATATGAATAAAGGCATTGCTTACATTTAAAAGTCAATGCAGCACTTCATAGATCCGTTGAGCATGAACTTTGGTGCCACTGTCACGGAGGCAGTGGCACAGCAGCGTGATGGCAGCAGACACTCAGTGGACATCGGGGGTAAGAGACCATTAAGTGGTCTGCAAAGTAATCCTGCTCTGTACAACATACCATATAACCTTCAATCTATTGCACAGTATTGGGGTCATTATTCAATAAATGCAAGTATTAGGAGTGATAACAACGTATGTGCATGTTTTCTCTCCTGGTCGCTTTTCAAACACTCACACTTCCTGAAAAATTCAGACTAATACGAGCTGCTGCCACATGATTGATTGTTGCTTGCTAAGTCACTTTAAAGAGCGAAATGTTTGTGAGTGAATAGATATAGCTGTGTAAAATGTAATTACAATGCAATGTAATGCGCACTTCTTATATGCGTGACGAAATGTTCTTCTACATTGCAAGCTGTAGCTCCGAGGCAGCAACAACGTCTGATGGTGCTGTAATATGTTAATGCACTGTTGTAAGTAATGCACAAAAGAAGTTCTTAATACTGACCTCTGACTGGGATGAATGAGTTGTATTAGAAGAAATGAAAGCGGGGGAAGAAGGGAACAAAGAGAAATGGAGGAAACACAAAGGAAGCTGTGAGCTGCTCCACAGTCTGTGATAGTTAATGAATTAGAGCTGGCCTCCACGCTGGGGGCAGGAACACAGTGGCATAGGTTAATACTGACAGGTTAAAGAGGGCCGACTGACTGAGGAAATCTCTATGTAACCGACTGTTAACTTACCTAACGACTGACTGGCTTGTTGGCTGGAATGATGACAGGATTACTGGCTGATTAAATACCATAATAGGTAAATTAACAGGCTGGTTACTGACGACTGTTTGGCAATTAACTTCTCTAGAAGGTTGATTAACTTACGGAAGCTGATTTCATGACTATTTTGGAGACTGATAGTAATTTATTTGGCATATGGCAGAGGGTTCAAACATACTAGGTTAGAATCTATATCTGCCTCTCCATTCTTCCTCTTCAGCCTACATAGCAAGCACGCTCAAATATTCTCCAAAGCCATGCATTACCTGATAATGAATCCTCTCAGTGGCCAGGTTCAATTTGGAAAAATGTCTCAAATATGCACTAAATTAGTTTGACTCCCTGTCACTTAACACTTGATATTGAGACTAATACCCTTACTGTATTTGAATACGGCTCTTTCTTGGATCCCTTGTGGTTGTTGACATGACTCTATGTTGAATATGTAAAAGCATGTGGAGCGGAGCGCTTGTTTTGGTTTACTGAGTGTGGATGACAGGTTGAAGTCCTTTGGTCAAGGTGATGAGGAGAGGGTAGTGGATGTTCTCATCGTATGCGTCTTTCCCCTCCGCCAGCATCTGCACAATACAACAGGAAAATATTTACTAAAGTTACTACAAAAAGTATTAGTCTGTTATTTCAGCTTGGTAGATCAACCTAATCAACATTTAGGGGGTTTGCTAGTTGACTAGTGATTTAAGAAGCAGACTTTAGCATTAACTAAAGTCACTTCACTGTCACACTATTAAAATTAAGAACATATAACGTATTTCTTCTTAATGTTCTTGTTCTTTTATGTGAAGCTTAACATATACAATTCCAGTCAATTAATTAATACTTTCAACATGACAGATCAAAAAGTCATCAAAAGCAAATAGTATGAAATAAAATGACAGAAATATATCAAAAACTGTAAAAACAAAAATGTAAGAAGAAAGATTACATTATATAAAATATCATTATTGTTAGTCCTAGTTTGTCGTTTTCTGGCACTGATATGTGGATTAAATGTCCTCAAAAAACAACAACTTTCCTACTGTAAGACTTTTAGGGAAAAACATTCAAATCTGCCATTTGAGAGTTGGCACTAGATTTCTTTTACCCGTTTGCTTGAAAAATATTTTATAAAATGTAAGTAGATTGATTTTAAATTGTTACAATTGTGCTATCCGTTCCTGCTCAAATGTGCATACCTCTACACTCACACACACTGTCTTTTAAACACACACACTTTGACACACCATGTGCTGCCCACTCGTTGCCCTTTTAAGCAGACTTGGCAGTTTGGGCGTTCAGCAGCTAATCAGCTCGCCCAGCGTCTGGCCAGATGATCAGAGACTAATGAAAGTGAGTTTAGTGGTTTTACTCATTTGAGAAGGTAAGTGTATGTGATGTGAGAGCAGGACAGAGGAGAACTGTTTGAAAAGGTTTTTTCATAACAAATAAAGACTCAGACTGACCCCGAATTCACTCCCTTCATGGAAGTAATATGGAAGTGGACATTCATCCAAACCTTCTTACATTATAAACCCAAATACTGCCTGTGTGCTGGTTCCTTTACAAAGTATGCCATTTAGTGAAACACTGTCCAAACATCAAAATATTCAGACCAGCAAATAAGTTATTTTATTTGATTGCAGACTGGGTTACTTAAAAGCTGTATTAGGACAATGTTATAATAATATAACCGGATAGTGACTGTAAATGTGATATGACATTGTGTCTGCATGTATGTATTAATGGTGAAGTACAATGGGTAATGGTGCTTTGGACATTTGCAATAATCTGCGTATTTGAAGCTTCCTCTGGGATGTAGTTAGACTTTGTTCAGGCTGATATTAGCACTGCTTGAAAAAACCCAATCCCCTATTCATTACAATGAGAGCACTGTGTTTACACAGCGGGGGGCCGACAGAGGACTCCAGCTGAAAAGTTAAGTTACAGAGCACATTTAAAAGAAAAAAACAGGCGTTGACCAAAGTTCTTTTAAAGGGGAATAAAAAAAATATATAGAACCACATTTTGATATATAAAAAAAAAATTATCATCTAATTAAAAAAGTTGAACCTCGCTCAACTTTTGCCTGAAAGGCATTCCTGGTTACTCTAGATGACTCTATCATTATTATTTAATACTTTTAGTTTAGTTAGAAGTGTAAAAAAGGTGTAACAAGTGCTGGTCTTGAACATTGTCGCAGAAAATACTTTTGTGTGATTTAAATGTTGACCTCACACAGCTCTCATTTCTCCTTTTCATACACTTGAAAACGAAAACAAAAAGTGAGACATCTTCACCTCAACAAATCTCTATGCCTCTTTTTCACACTTATATGACTTTTTTTGAATATGATCAAACTGCTGGTGTCTGCCTCTCCCTCCCTTTCCCCCCCAGCGCCCTTCATGTGCGTTATCTTCCTGTTGCCATCCCTCCAGGCACCGGCCGGTGGTTGAACCTCTGACCCCCCGAGAGAGAGAGAGGGTGACAGAGAGAGGGAGAGAGCAGACGGCCCAGGGGGTGTTTGGGCGTGGAGGGGCAGCTGCCGGTGCTAAGCCAGCTATGGGGACCAGGGCCAGCATTCACATTCAAATTCTACCAGGCGGAAGGAGCAAGGAAGCGATAGATGGAGGGGTGGAGGGTGAGGGGGGGGGGGGGGCCTTAACGCGGCGAGGGCTAAGAGCTCGCAGAGGTGAAAAGTTTAACAAGCAAAGCTGTTCCTCCTGATCGCAGGCTGCCTAATCAGCTTCATGGGTGGCTGGCTAAATCGGCTCTCAACGCGACCCCCCCCCCCCCCCCCCCCCCCCCACAATCTTTTCTCTTTTTCTTTCCCTTTCCAAGGTGCAAGTCATTTATTTTATTGCCACTTTCGCCCAAGCTTCTCTCTCTCACTTCGCCTCTCTATTTCTCTGCCTACTTCTTTTTTTACCCCCGCCCCGTTTACTCTTGCCTTGCTTGTGAGAGAAAGTGTACAAGGTGGAAAAAGAGAGAGAAGAAGGGAGGGGGGGGGGGGGTATGAGACAAGGGAGGGGAAGGATGAACCGGATGTCTTGGGTCTCTCTCGGCAGGATTAGGAAACAGAGAATGAGGGATTGGCTGGATGGAGAGACGAGGAGAGGAAGGGATAGAAGGACAGGCTTGAATAAATAGAGAAGTGGGTCGTGATGTAGGAAATGGGAAGATAGAGGGGAGCAGAGGGAGGGAGGGAGGGAGAGAGGGTGAGGGAAGATATGTCAAAGAAAGGAGGGAGGGAGGACGGGGGTAGCCAGGCAGCTGAGGGGGGGGGAGAGAAAGAGCATGAAGGAGGGAAGGAGGCAGGGAAATGAGTGTGAGTGCATGGACACAGTGGGGAGACTATTTATGCATGTGAGGGAGACGGGGGATCTACACATGTGAACACACACTCTCTTGCATGTGTGTGTGTGTGTGTGTGTGTGTGTGTGTGTGTGTGTGGTGTGTGTGTGTGTGTGTGTGTGTGTGTGTGTGTGTGTGTGTGTGTGTGTGTGTGTGTGTTTGAGAGAAATTAAAATTCATGACTCTCTCTTCACAACCATTTGAGTAACAAGATTAAGATGGCGGGTTAGAAAATAGCGCTGGCATTATCAGGCTGCTTGCAGTCCCTCCAGCTGCTTGCCTCTCTATTCCACAACAGTGGGGATAAGAGGATAACGCGCTAGCCCTGTCTGCCCGTCCCAGCACAAGACACACACACACACACACACACACACACACACACACACACACACACACACACACACACACACACACACACACACACACACACACACACACACACACACACACACACACACACACACACACACACACACACACACACACACACACCACACACACACACACACACACACACACACACACACACACACACACACACACACACACACACACACACACACACACACACACACATCGGGCCTGCCTGCTGTCTGCAATCCCTCGAGTGTGTTTGTGTCAGAGGGCGAAAGTGTGTATATGTTTGGAAAGCTGCAGAGTAGCGAGCTGGGGGTCTTGAGATGATTTGTAAAAATACGGCTGAAAACACTCCCTGCTCTCTCAAGTTCTTTTCACACTAAGCAAACATTAAGACAGGCAGCATATTCCAAACAAAATCAAATCTGACATGTGTCGGATCTGGCACAGTGTGTGATGCCGGTATACTCACAGCTACTGGGGAGCGTTTGTTTAACAGCATCTGTGCCAGATGGAGGGGCTTGTGAGTCGCACTGGGAGCATACAAAGAAGTAAACTCGGCCTAAATTACAGATGTGGAAACATTTTGCTTGGCCGTGCACATATTTCAACAAGTTGGGGTTTTGATTGGATTGTGCTGCTAGTTTGACAGAGTTTGGCGATAATTAAGCATTTTTCTTTTGCAGCTTTTAGTAGTATCGTATCATATGATGGCATACGTTTTAAAAGCTCTCTCCATGCTAAGGATTCCAAACAAAATGCATTAGAAAAACCAAAAAAATACACATTTAAAGAGTTTGCTTAAGTTAACAACCAAACACAATTTGTTTATTGTTCATGAATTAAATTATTTGACATGCTATTTTGCTAAAATGTGTCATACAGTTACATACTGATATCTTCAATAAAAGGGCCTTTCCTCCTAATATCTTGAAAACTATTTATTTTAAATCCTGGCTCTGAGCATATATTAATAATCCTTCATTTATTGCTTAATTTACAGCAGATTACAGTCGGTTAACTCTTTATATACATTTCCAGTAAAAACATATAACAAATTACTGATAAAATAAGTCAATTCTGATACAATTTACAAAAATAAGTTTATCCGAATTTCTTTGGAATAAAAGGCCATTATGGTAAAAGTGTATTTAGTCTAACATTAAGTGGGTGTCTGCGTAGAAATTAACGATGTTTTAACAGCTAGAATTTGTAGTATTAAGAAAAATAGTACAGTTCCAGTTTTTCTTCAAAACACCTGCTTTTCGGTCTTTGATTGTTTTAAGCCACAGTGAAAGAAAATCCATAGTGTGTGTTCCGCTGCCGGTTCTGATATGCATTTTTCTTGTGTGCTGGTCCACCCACTGAAAGTAAATATAGCTGAAGAAAAGCTAATCTGAAGTGCAAATGAGTAGCAGCTGCTCATTTGGATGTGCGTGTGTGTGCACAGTGGTAGTGTATGTTTCACTGTGATATCATCATGAGGTGTGTGTGTTTGTGTGTAATGTCTGGCCAATACGCTGTCTGAGTGATGTCTGGTCTGTGCGGGATTGTGATATAGCTGGTTTCCTAGCTGTGTGTGTGTGTGTGTGTGTGTGTGTGTGTGTGTGTGTGTGTGTGTGTGTGTGTGTGTAGAATGGTCAGTCATGCCCATACAAGCACACACACACAAAACCACACAGGGGTAGTTCAGAGTGTTCATCAGAAGATAAGCAGAGGAGACTTAATCACCTTCAGATGTGAGGGGGGCACTTCAACTTGTCCTCACATCCACACCCAGCACCTGACCCCACTGTGTGTGTGTGTGTGTGTGTGTGTGTGTGTGTGTGTGCGTGTGTGTGTGTGTGTGTGTGTGTGTGTGTGTGTGTGTGTGTGTGTGTGTGTGTGTGTGTGTCATGCAGATGGAAGTGTGCATTTCAAGAAAGAGCTGCATGGTGTGATAGTCCCTGGGCATGGCATGTCAAAGTAAAGGAAGAAGTACCAGCATAATTTCAGTTTTTTTTTTCTCAATTCAACGCATTTGAGTCTGAATGTGTGTGTTGAAGCAACTCTCATCACTAAAATAGGTCTGAGTGGCAATCTTCCCAAGCGGGTGAGGTGCTGAACCATTAGTATTATTCAATGACTGTTTACTGTGGCCTTGAGGCAATTCACCCCGCAGCATTTCAAAGTTGCATTTCTTTTACATGTATGGCAGCATCCACTTTAATTTTACTGAAGCTCCTTCTTTCTTTCTGTCCCACTTATATTCTTTATTTACTCTTTTCCACCCTTCCTGGATTCTTTTTAAGAAATGTGTTTATTTTTTTCTAAAATAACTCGAGCTCTTCATGTGCTTCTCCCACTAAGGCCAAAACCACCTACTGTGTGTGTTTATTATCTGAAGCCATTTCTCACATATTGAATGAACTTTACAAGTGTTATCCCATTTATTCATGTTCAAACACTTGTCTGTGTTTTCTGTTCAGAAGTCTATATATTGATCTGACCTATTCGTAAAGCAACTGTCTGTGTGCGTCCATGTTTAAACTAGGAGGGAAAACTGAACAAAAAAATATATAGCTTTATTTTGTTCTTACATACCAAGTTTAAAATTCAGAAAAAAATATATTTATATACAACTTTATTTGATTCAACAAATACATCAGATTCTTGCCCAGATTTCATTCCCTGATAATATTTCTATCAGTCCAGGAAATGGGATGTTTTTGTATTGTACACATTTCGAAAGTGCACAGAGGAGGCCGGGGTGGATGAGTGAGTTTAAAGAGGCCCTATTATGCTTTTGGGGGTTTTCGCTTTCCTGTAGTGTGTTGTTTAGGTTTATGAGGTTGGATATCAGAATTTAAATACAGCACGTTTTCAGGATACTAAATTACCTTTTTACGAATAGGAAAGATGATGGCTTTGGTTAAATATGAAATTATTAATGTCGTGTTGGTAACGAACACCATGATCTTTCCCAGCCCTTAACCAAGTGCTTTTATTGGCCTAAACATAACCATACAAATATAAACTGTATTTTCTAGGAGACGATATTACAACAATTGACATACAATGTAATAAACTGACAATTTCCATGTGCTTTAAAAGCGTACCTGGTTGGCATTACATTCCTTATAAAAATGTTTGCAGCTGCACGATATCTGTATTAACATAACTTGAACAGCATCTGCACAAACTAGTGACAGACACTACAAATGTAATTGGCCTGGATTTACACATGCGTATGGTGCGTGTTTGATATAGACTTGACTCACTGTAAGAAGAAGTGGAGGCTAAATATGGATTGGGACAACTTGATCCGAGCCTGCGTTAAACCTGAGTCAGTTAATGTGTGCTCCCTGTAAATGTGGTCTGAAAGGGTACATTAGATATATATAATGTGTGAGGGACTGCGATGCTGAATTTAGTGACGGACGGAGTGAAGTGAGAAGGAGTGAGATTTTCCTCGCTGAGGTTCAGGCCACTTTAACAGGCACTTTAATGACCGGTCTGTCCAATTGTCCCACCGGTGATGCTGTCCTGTTCTTCTGTAGCTGTGTGTGTAATGGAGTTAACAGCTGGACACCACTTCTTCTAACAAGGCCTACTCATGTGCTTTCTGTCACTCCTTTTCTCTCTCCCTGCCCTCCTCTCTCCTTCCCTCTCTCTAACTCCCTCGCGGTGCCACGTGAAGGCAACCTGTTCTAGCCCCGGTGTGTCTCACAAAGTGTCTCTAAACATCAAACGCTAATCCCACATTTTTTATTAAAGCTGTGTGAGCATTACACGACCTGGATTCGTGGTGGTCTCTTTTTACATTGAATATATATTATTGAACTGTGTTAACCATCCAATTCGGTTTTTTATACAATGCTAGCACGTTGTTGGACTCTTTAAAGGTTAATTCCAAGTTAATAAGAGGCTTCCTCACACACTAAAAGCTGGATCTATCCCTTAATTGCAATCCATACTACTGGTGTGACAAGATATACTTAAAATACAAACAGTTTAAGGATCCTGGATCCTTGTTTCTAAGTATATGTTCATGTTATCAATGATGTTCTTTTGATTGTTTATGTTGAAGTTGTATTTCATCTTTTTTTGTCTTCACACTCAACATATATTGTCAGTCTGTCTTTCCTTGGAGAGGGATCCCTCCTCTGTTGCTCTCCCAGACGATTCCCTTTTTTGCCATTAACTGTGATTTTTTGGGATTATTACTTTGTCTGCTGCTAGGACGCTAAGGACAGATAGTGTCCTACAGTATGCTGCACACATTTTAAATCCCTCTGAGACAAAGTTGTGATATCAGATCAATAAAGAACATTTGACATTTATCCACACCCTGCCTGCAGACTTTAATAGCATCTGCTTTGAACCTGTACTCATCTCTTAACATAAAAACAACTTATTCAAATGTTTTTTTTAATGGGATACAGTGTTTTGGAGTCATGCTTGTCTAAGTGCCTCTCAGTTTTTTGGATTCTCTTCCTACCTTCAAGTGAACATCCCAGACCTGAGCGTCGTACTGCTGGTGTTGGGAGGCGCAGAGTCCGGCCTGCTGGGCCAGTTGACAAAACAGTCTCAGAGTTTCACCTCGCAGCGGAGCAAACACCAACGCTGTGCCCTGAAAACAAAATGAGACGAGAGTGAGTGCTTTGGAAAGTGGATATAATGGTAAGACACACGTATTTGAATGGCTAATTTCTCAAAACATTTGTTATTCAGCTTTACACAAACACATAGTTGCCAGTCTCTTTACTTTGATCTTTACCAGGTGCACGTTATGAGATAAACCAAAAAAATGAAGTTCTTCTATCTCCAGAATTGTGAACACACATTCGTCACATGTATATGACTATGCGTGTGTGTGTGTGTGTGTGTGTGAGACAAAGAAAGAGCGACAGTTTGTATGAGCACATGCATCACAGACATCCTGCGAATACTAAGAGGATTACTAACAAGTTCTAAGTTTCTTTGAAATCCTTCATCTTTCAGTTGTACTTCCTGTTGATCATGTTATTATTGTTTTAATTGAATAAAAGAGGGATGCCATCACAAACACACATACAGCAAGTACACACACACTATGAAACACAAATGAACACAAAGAACAAGATCACAATGCATGACAGATTTTTCATCTGTATATCCAGTTGCACTTCCCCCCAACAAACAACTCCTCCCATCACTAATCAGCTGATTAAGGGGATCCAGCCCACCGGACGGACCACCTTTGTCAGAAACAACAAATTAGTGCCATTAGATGGGAGAATTAATTGCTTTGTTAATTGCTTAATCAGCTTAGCAAATTATTAAATATTTGGCAAGCTTGTTGTGGCAGAGACAGTCTGATGGCCGACACTCAAATCATATTAGCCCCTGAATTATCTCCACTGGATTAAAGAGAGAGAGACATGAAGAGAGACTTAACACACAGATGTACAACAATGGCCAGATGTCATGTCTGTCACTCGGCAACAGCAGCTTCGGCATTCAACTGCAACTGAGACACACGTTGGGTTTTAACTGCATTTCACTTGGGAGGAAACGCTATATGGAGATACGTTTGTCTTAACCCTTCGATGCATAAGTGGGTCTTTTTGGACCCGGTGAGGTGGTTTTCTTGAAGTATCTTTGTAATTACATTTTTTTATCATTTCATATTCCAGCTATTCCTCAAAAAACATGTTTTGGATATCATGCCATTCTAATTTTAAATTTACATTTTATACATTTTAAGAAATTGTAGTTTTTGTATTACTACCCCAAGCTTCCATAAGTGGGTCTTTTTGGACCGGGTGAGGTGGTTTTCTTGAAGTATCTTTGTAATTAAATATGTATCATTTCATATTCCAGCTACTCCTCAAAAAACATGTTTTGGATATCATGCCATTCACATTTTTAATTTACATTTTAAGAAATTGTAGTTTCTGTATTAGTACCCCAAGCTTCCATAAGTGGGTCAAAAATGACCCGCATGCATTTTCTATGGAATCCTATGGGAAAACGTTTTTTTTCAAAATGTAAAAGAAATTTCTAAAATTATAAATAGTGAAACATTAAATATAAAATATTTCTAGTGTGAACCAAAATATAATACTAAATATTATACAAGAGATTTTTCTTAACCAAAATGACAAAAATTGCATAAAAACACACATTATTCTAATGCGGGTCCTTTTAGACCCACTTATGGAAGAGTGTAGGGTCCAGTCACTCGTGCAGCTAAGGGTTAATATAATTCATGTGAACAGATCGACATCGGTGTTAAAGTGTGTAATCTGAAAATGTAAAAGAACATTGCGATGAGCAAAAAAAGATTTGTGAACTTATAACAAATATTAAGTTGATTCAAAACGGAGCTACACAAATTCTACTTAAAAAATAGGTTACTATATTAAATTGTTTCACAAGTAAGTGGAAAGCATTTGTGACTATCTTTCTGACATTTACAACTTTTGATCAGGCGTTTGTGAATCCAGTTTTCTTCGACGCTTGTGGATTTTACGCACCCAGAGTTTAGAAAAAAACTATTTGAACAAAAATCTACCCCCACAAAACTCGGCCATTTTCCAATTGCACGTGATGGCCTGCTGATGGCACGGTTCAGCATTTCAAAATAAGAGCATGATAATTCCATACGCGTGTCACGGCAGGCAACAACCTGAATGTAATCATAATAATTATAACATAATCCTTTTTGTCTTTCCAGTTACATCTGCTGTTTGTAAATGTTATACAAAATGGATTAAAGGCTTAGTTCACCTATATTCTCAACATATTACCTCACTTATCTATCGTAAAACTAACCAAGTTGATCGTTTTGGTGTTATATGTCCCATCCTAAGGAAATACAGGGGATAGGAAATGTATTTAAGGTGCTGAAGGTATTTCAAAATGTCTAACTTTTTCTGTATAGTGTGTTGGATTATTGACAAAACATGAGGTCAGCAGTTCTAATAGGGACTATTTCTTCTGTAAAAAGTAGTTCTAGTGAAAAAAGTGAAGTTTGTGGCTTAATCCTAGAAACAGTGTTTGAAGCTCATTTCAGGTTGTTGTTTAATTTGGATTGACATTTGTTTTTCATTTGCTTGAACTGGCCCTTGGTGCTTTTAACCTGCATGTTTCTATTTCACCAAACAAAATCCATCTCCAGCTACATTTCACATCTCTCCTCCCTCCTTCTGTCCTTCCATCTTTTCTTTTCATCTCTCCCCTCCTCTTCTCCATATCTCCCTCCCTAGAGTGCAGTTTTTCATAAACAGATATTCCCTATACCCGTCTGGCCTCTTTTCTTAAAACGCAGCCCTCTTCCCTCAGATGAATAGAAACCTCAACCCTATCTCTTCCAGCCTTTTGCTTTCCCCCCCCCCATTTGCTTTGGCTGTCACAGCGTGGGGTCTTATCGCGAGGCCAAAAGGGAGAAGTTGCCTCGGATTTATGATTAAGGGAAGGCAGAAGAGAGAGAGCCGGAGATCAGAGCGATGCATTCAAGTTGCTCATAATAAGCATTAAAGCATTACATGATATTAATCCTGTCAGCCTATTAATGTGTATGGGGCGAGGCCTAATTATGATTGAGAAGAATGCGTGGTGATTTATAGGAAGGGGATCAGCAGAGACACATACAGTACACACACACACACACACACACACACACACACACACACACACACACACACACACACACACACACACACACACACACACACACACACACACACACACACACACACACACACACACACACACACACACACACACACACACACACACACACACACACACACACACACACACACACACACACACATACAAATATCTGGCTTGGCTTCCTTCATGAAATTGACCCTCTTCAGTCAATACAGAAACAGCATGGGCACACAGTATCCATACCTACTCATGAACATATCATTTACTTCTTGTGTGTGTTTTTGTACCTTCATACGTGTATTTGTGTACTCTTTAGACACTCTAAATCAACAGAAGCCTGTGTGTTTAATATTCCTTCTTAACCACATGTTCCTTTATTAGCTCTCTACTTGTTAACACCTAAAATGCTAGGTGTGTATATCCTTGATCCATTTGATCATATCAAAAACAGATTCTCACAAAACCCTGCATGTACGTACAGTAGGTGCATTTTGAAGCATCTTTTCACACTACCTGTTATCTGTTTACCAACTTGTTTTTGTGATTGATTAATTAATTAATTGATCAAATTAAAGTCAACACACACACACACACTTACGTTGGGTTTCAGTAATCTTCTTATGGCATCAACCAGGCTGGCTCTGTACTGGTCGAGGAACAAACTGAGGGAAGAGGGAGACTCAGGTTAGAATGCATTCCTGTGATAGCAGCTGCAGATAAAGCACCAGGCTATTTATTTTTCTTTTGTTCACAAATAAATCCACCAACAAGAAGAAGGGAAAAACAATTTGCATGAGTAAGATGCTTTTCCTTTTTGTTGACGTTTGAGTTTCCGTGTGTATTCACCTCGGCCTGGGAATGCAGAACATCAGAAAATCCAACGTGCACAGATACCATCGCCTACAGTAAACACACACGTGTGCGCATGCAAGCGTACACAGTTTTACTGGAACACTTCAAAGCGGCGCGAAAGCACCTTGAATTTGTGGAATTAATACCTGGAGAGTGCGCTCTGAAGTTAATATGAAGATATGGGAACAAAAACAACACACAAAGGAAAAATAAATCAGGAAATAAATGTTCCTACAAATCTAATTAACTGGTTCCATTGTATATTAAACCCCACTGTACTGTAACTGTGTGTGTTGGAGAGACTGTGTTCATGTTAATTAGAGCAGTTATGCATATTTCTTTCACGATATGAACAACTTCACAAAAAAGTGTAACACCATATTTGAATAATTCAGGGGCCATATATTTGATTATACCATATGATTAGAAGTTAGTCACAACTTGTTAATTTGTCTAACTTATTAATATGGTATTATAAGGATGATCTTTGTATATGTTTACATTTGTGCACTTTCAATGCAGATATACTTGGCTGAAAACGACCGATTACTAAGTCTAAAAATGTAAAAAAAGAGGACTTGTAGATGAAGGTTACGATCAATATGGATATTGCATGCTTGAACCCAGTTTCATACTAGTAACAGAACATCACACACACACACACACACACACAAATTGACTCCAATCATTATAAACAAAGTAACACCTGTCTCTATATCCAAAACCACACATTTCAATCCATTATGCCAGTAAGTAGAGCACTGTGTGTGTGCGTGTGCGTGCGTGTGTGTGTGTGTGTGTGTGTGTGCGTGTTTGTTTGTGTGTACCTATTATCACAGATGAGAGTGGAGTAATTTGACTAAAATGCAACAATACAGTGCAGATTTGAAATAATCCCTCACATCCGCCCAACCGGCCGGTGGGAGGGGGCAATCTGGACGTAACTTTCTAATCACAGCCTCTGACCTTTCCTCATGCAAAACCCTCTGATCCCAGGGGAACGAGAGGTGCACGTCACTGAATGTTCCTCTCTGCATCCATGGCCATACCTCAATAACAAAACAGGACTTAGCATTTCAAGCTCTCACCAACACCAGGATGTGTGTACGTCTGTGAGAGGGTTGTTATTCTTTTAAGGTTGACAGAGGCGCAAAGTTTATTTTACTTGAAAGGTGAGAGGTTTGTGTTTGTTTGATTTTGCCACAGATATCGGTTCACGGGAAAAGTGAGTGGTAAGGAAAACAAGGAAGTGAGCTAGTTGGGTGGAGGCAACAGCCAAAACACACACACACACATACACATGCACACACAGACAAAGACACACACACTGAGGGTAAGGGAAGGACATCGTGTCGTTCAGAGGGCAACAGTTAAATAACAAAAAGGAACCATGGTCATTGCTGATGAACATTTTGAACATGGTGAAATCATATATAAAGTTACATATGTCAAATAAAATAACCCTGCCAACAGCTACGTATTAGTCTATAGATCACTCAGAGAAAAAACTACTGATTAAATAATGTGTCGTACACAGGTATCTTTGAGGGAGGATGGAGGGAAATTGTAAATGTCAACAGACACATAAAAGTTTATGTAAAAAAAACAACAATATATATGTAAAATTCACCAATCTAGGAGGAAGGAAAAATAAATCAGAATCAGAATTGTTTCTGAAAATATTTAAAGGGGAACAAATGATTAATATCCCTTATTGTGACCACTGTTCATGTTTATTAACAAAATATTTTCTACTTTGATCAACCTAAAATATTAAACCATTTAGCATGTTTAAAAAAAGTACATCTGAATCCCTAAATTCCAATTTTAATAGAGTTTTGTTAGTTGTCTGAGATACAGGTTTTGATTTCCTTTGACTATTTGTAAAGCTTGTTAATGCTGCTAAACACCACTTGAAGTAATATTAGTCACCTTTACAGTGTTTGCAATGGTGTTTAACCAAATTGAGATTATTTCTACTTTTCCAGGTCCTAAAAACAATTTGTAAACTTGTATGAAAGGTAGTATTTGTATTATATCACCAGCTATTATTTTTAACCATGGTGTCAAGGAAGAAAGTCCGTTTTTCTTAGTTATGAAATTAAAATCCAAACAATACAAAGTGTTGCTCTCGCTCTATTACCATGTTTGGTTTGCAGTCACAGTTCAATAATGTCAGTGTAAAATTCATGAACTCTCAAATTGACTGGACTCCCCCTTTAAGGTCAGCCCTGATGCCCCCAGACGGTCAGAGACCTATTGTCTCATGCTGACCCCCCCCCCCACCCAGTACAGCCCACAAACTCCAGTCAGAACTGAGTGGAGGTCAAAGGGCACAAAAAGGGCGTGTGTGTGTGTGTGTGTGTGCGAGAGAGAGAGGGCGTTGCTGCTATATTTGTCTGCTTCACACGTATGTGAACACACAGGATGTCGTCAAGGCTGCGAGTGTGAGGCCATGGAAACACATGATACCATCAATGACCCTTTTACCCCACTAATGGAAATGTAAGGGTTAAGATGCATGTTTTATTTTATATATGTGCATCATCGATATCGATACCAATTTTAGTTTCTTAAGTTATTGGGACACAAAGCATGATCATAATATCATTTATTAGTCAGTTCAGGACTTTTGTTGTGTATCTCACATCCAAAATCAGACAAACTAAACCCTGCCAGGGAGTCCAATCTCAATTTCAATAGTCTTATAATCCAAACTTTGTCCTTACTGTCAAGATAAAAAACATACACATTTCAACAATGACTTGGTAAGTAAATCTTATGTATTCATTCTGCTTTCCTGTGAATTTCCTTGGGATGCATTTGATAGATTTTTGATTATTTAATCAGAAACCATCCAGAAAATGTACTATACTATATCTGCTGTTATGTGGGAAAACAAGAATGAGCCACATAAGAAAGAGAGAAAAAAGAAAACACAATGCGTAATATAATATAAGCTAATATTGAGCCAGTGAAGTGCAGTGAATAAGGGTGTTAACATTGACCTTCTCAAAAACGAATTTAATACCCGAACTATCAGGCGGCAAAACACTGCTTCCACTCTTTCATCCTATTAGGCCGCATACAATGATTTACTGTATGTGTGGTTAAACGGCACTCTAAGAAAGCTACTTATACCTTTCTTTAAGTGTTCCCCTAACAATTACTCTGTTGAAGTGGAATTGTAAAAAGCCGGCATACCTCTTGGTGTGATTTCACTCATATTTAATCTACCATCAATTAGCATACCGCTGAGATCTATTTACAGCATCTTAGTTAGAAAAAAGCTTCATTATAAATCTAAATAGCTATACATGTTAAACATCACTGTCACAATTAAGCCCTGATATCACAAATATTTTGACATTAATTAAATCAATGTGCTATATTATATAAACACACATATTTTCATTACTTCAGTGTGGTAATACATCTTTTACAGACATCAGACACATATATATTTTTAATCTGGAGTCATACAGTGTGCACAACATGTTCTTAAAAAAAAGAGTTGACACCGTTTTGTCAGAAAATTACAAAATGCGCTGCTGTGCAAAATTAGGCAAATGAAATAAAGAAAGGACTGCAATTTTGTAGAACAATGATATGATTGAAACAGCAACAAAAGATGAAAGCGACAGCAGCCACTAAGACTTGGTGCTGAATTGTGCACAAGTCTTAGTGGCTAGATAGGACATCAAATAAATCATGGACTTATCAGCATTAAATAAGTCAGATAACTGTCTTGTTCGATCATGATCTGCAAGCAATCGCAAGAGAGGTGTGTGTGTACATAAAAACTGTGAATTCACAATAGATGCAAATGAATATAGAAATAGAACATACATAAATAATATGCACATACTGTAAATGCACACACACGCCTGCACAAACTCACATAAACACACACACACGCCCGCACAAACTCACACACTCATAAATAGGGCTTTATCTTCTCGCCCACACATGGACAGCTTTTGGAGAAAACAGACACGCCAACATCCCAGCCAAGGATCCTCCGCCACACACACACACACACACACACACACACACACACACACACACACACACACACACACACACACACACACACACACACACACACACACACACACACACACACACACACACACACACACACACACACACACACACACACACACACACACACACACACACACACACACACACACACACACACACACACACACACACACACACACACACACACACACACACAATTTACTCCTGGACAGAATATGTCTTCACTGATATTTCCATTTATTTTGTATGTGCACTTGAGGTTTCCAGTTTCCCACAATACACTCACAAAAGTTTCATACTGGATCATGATTGGCTAAAAACTAATTGTGATTCTGTCCATACAACCGTGTTCAAATGAGATTTAAGATGAGCGCAGAGAAGCCTTGCTCTTTTGGCGGATTCATAGAAAAAAGGTAAAATGTGTGTGTGTGTGTGTGTGTGTGTGTGTGTGTGTGTGTGTGTGTGTGTGTGACCAAGTGGGAACACAATTGGCAAACAACATTTTTTTAATAGCTGAATGTAATTCTTCCTTTTCCCTTTTTTCCTGTGCATTTATTTTATGTTCGATGGAAAGGTGAACTATTTGCCGTGACTTTCTGTCAAATGGCAGTAATGGGTTATCTATTTTTTTTGTAACAAATTGGTAGACCGTCTTTATTCATATAGATTTGAAGGTCGGTGGTGATGTTTTTTCGGCAGATGTCATTTACCAAGTGTAGAACTATTTCTCATCTCCAGCTACTGTGACTGGCAGTGTACACTTGCTGCCCTTGACATTTAATATAAAGAAAGCCACGTCAAGCAGTTACTATGATTTGTACCTTGTTAAGATTTCACACAGAGAAGGATGAGCAGTACTTTAACAGCACTTAAGAAACATTTCCAACAGCCAGATTCACTCCAATACTTATCAACTTCTTTTGCATAATACTTCCTCTTCAAAAATACACAGGATATCCAAAGGAGTAAGCACATAATGGACTGCTGATACACAATGTTCCACCAAACTCCTCTCCTCTCCCCCCCTCTCTCCGTCTCCCCTTGCTTCTCAGCAGTGGTTCCGCTGCTACCGGTGGGAGCTATATTTAATCGGAGTGGAAGCCGCGTTGTTGACCTTTTCGCAGGTGATCATCACCACGATGCGCCCGTTAATCGGTCAGCCATCACTCTTCAACCACCACCACTGCAATTATCACACAGTCACTCACTCACACACACGGGGGGGAAATGGCACCACAGAGAAAAACATCTTGCAGCACACACACACCGCACACAAGCATGCATCTCTGCTGAGAAAATGTGAAATCTAAGAACCCTGAGATATCACAAATTCACATACAATTTACTCTGTTCTAACACTATCTGCTTTTATCTGTCGCACACACATGTTAATACACACTCGTCCGCTGTAAAATATCCTCTATTAGCTGCCGGCTCTCTTTCTCTCGCTGGGTGCTGTACCTGACTATTACCTGTAATGACCGTGACATTACAATAATGATAACGCCGTTTGCTAATGCTGCACTTAGCACACGTGCACACACTTGTGCAGATAGATACACACATACTGAACACAAGCTACATTTGTTCGGTGTTTGTGAAGCTGAAAAATAGTAAAGTACTTTTGAGTCAACCAACAGCATGTCCATCTTCGCAGCGTGTGTGTTCTATAGGCATGTTCTTACGTCAGAGTGCATGGTGGTTAATGGATGCATTGGATATCAGCATCTTAAATGAACATCTGTATTTGTGTTCTGTGTGAACCATACCTGAAGTATTTCTTTAAGCAGGCCCTATTATGCTTTTTGGGCGTTTTCCCTTTCCCTGTAGTGTGTTACTGTATATATGTTTTAGTGCATGTAATTGCTCTGCAAGACTAACATCCCAAGGTTCCCTTCAGAGGGAGTTTCTCTCCGGACTGGGCTCTGGTTTCAGACAGAGGGTGAAAAGAGGTGCTGTAGCACAGGCAGTAGGACATGTCAACATGTCATAGGAGAAGCACAAAATACAAATATAAACCTGAAAATGAGCAAAAACAGGGTCCCTTTAATAAACACAAAATCTGCGCACACCATCTGCCGCGTTACATCTCCAAGGTTGCTTAAAAAATGCTGAAAATTAAGTTCTGTTAAAAACTGTATGTTACGGTTTTTCCCGCAGTGTACCTGAACTATGTATACCTGCCCTTAAAAAGTAGTGGTTAAGGAGAAACGTGTCAAAAAAGGATATTTGATTTCCATAATAAAATATAATAAGAAACCAATTGACTTATCCCAAAGCACGGTTCATAAACTGAATATCGAATTGGGCATCAAATCAACCATTTTCACCATATTCTTAAAGTATTAATATTGCTCAAACAGAAGGAGTGTACTGACTGTCAGTGAGTGTCTGTCTTTTAAGTCAAGGTAGCAAAATCCATCCTTTTTCATCGATTTGACACAAAGAAAAGTAGGGATTCATGTTTCAGGGAATCTGATTTGCTTTCAAAGATCATTCTTTCATTTCTTAATGTTTTTCCAAGGATGCTGTTATGTGGAATACAGTACATATCCAGATTCATGCCTCACATGGTACAATTGAGCGATAATAAAGATGTTATTCTCAATTGGCCACAAGATCTACATTTCAATGAACGATAGGCTAATTGTTATGTTTATGTTGCTCTATCTCTCCATTTCCATCTCCATTTCTACTCCTCCCTCCATCCGCCCTCGACTCTTTCTTTATCTTACTGTGTCTCCTTCCTTGTCAAGGCGCAATTATTTGCAATTTGCCTAAGTCATCCATTTGCTGGGACACCAAGCATGAAAACGAGGCAATTTGGTGTAAAATGGAGGCAGGCGGGCATCTGAGCATATGGGTATGAGTGTGAGTGTGTGTGTAAGTGAGTTGTGAGTGTGTGTGTAAGTGAGTTGTGAGTGTGTGTGTAAGTGAGTTGTGAGTGTGTGTGTGTAAGTGAGTTGTGAGTGTGTGTGTATGTGTGGACAAAGCAGGGGAAGGTCCAGGCGCTGGTGGGGGGCCATGCAAGAACTGTCATGCAAAAGTGAAAATTAATGCCATGAGCGCACACACTGAGATAAATGTCTGTGTGTGTGTGTGTGTGTGTGTGTGTGTGTGTGTGTGTGTGTGTGTACCTACCAGTCTGCACACATGACAATGTCAAAGTGACCCTCTAGTGCCGAAATGTCTGACTCGCAGTCCCACCTCACCACCCTGTAGGCAACACAGAAACAAAGTTGAGTGTTGGCAGAGCTGGAGACAGAAGGAACTGTTATAGTGAAACTGCACAGCGAGCGACAGCAGTTCATATTCCACCGCTTCTTTTCTGTCTTCCCGACACCCTGACACCGCTCTCCCTGACACCCACTGTTTTTCTGCTTCAGTAGAGACTTGGAGGAAGTGTCAGGGAGGGAATACGTGTCACCTGAAAGGTAAAGAGAGGCAGCTTCTGACATGACACTTGACATTTATATCATGTAAACACAGACGGACACTCATTTTGCTATTCAGCACGCACACTGCCCTCTCTCGTCCTCTTCTTACTGTCATCAGGATTAACTGTAGAAGTATTAATTATATATTGATTAGCAATTTAAACTACAAAAATAATGGTTGGCATTACTTACAAAAATATGTACAATCCTGTATACGCAATACAAAAATACAAAAACATGTAAATTATATAATAGAATGAGCTATTGTGAATCATGAATAATAAGAACCATAAAAGAAAATCGATCAAATGTATTCATGTGTTCTTATGTTGGTTTTCTTTAAGCTCCGACCCTTTTATGTTGCCAGTTCTTCCCTCAATTAAACATTAAATTGTGATTTGGCGTTTTGGTAGAGAGTGAGTCTCTTGCTATTTGAGCAGGAAGGGTTGCTCTGTCTCTACTTGTTGTTCGTTGGTAGAACTGCACTGTGTGTCTTGTCTGCGTTGTCTTTGTCCACCGGTGACAATGGTCAGATTGTTGTCTCCCTGTCTGTGTTTCATGAAGGTCCTTCTAAGTTATTCACCACTCACGCTGGCCAGAAAACCTGCCACTTGGTCATCTTCGGTTCAGTGCTAAAGAACATTGAAGTTTACTTTGCGTATAAGATCACCAGTGGGGTATTGTGATTTTCTTTGGCTATAATTTCTCTCTTCCAGACAGTGTAAGGGTGCTGATGCTGCGCACTGTTCAAAGCTTTCTCCTCCATCTCTTTTTCCACACCATTTTCCCCCTCTCTCTCAGACTGTTAGGCAGAGAGGGGGATTATTAATTAGGCATTATTAACACTCAGTAAACAAAACATTAGGCCCCGCTAGAAACACAATCTCAATTCACGGCAGGGGGTCCCAACACACGCACACATTCGCATGCATGTACACACACAATCACGCAAAATGTCCCTCCCCCCTCCCTCCCCTTGTCCAATCACATCGTGCCCTTCGCCCTCTCTTGTGGTGCGGCGATGACAGCAGGCATAATCTGAAAAGAAAACAATCAAAGTAATGTAGCCTAATTATACGTTTACTTTTTCACTCCATCTTCCACTCATGTAAATATGCCCAGGAGGGAGAGACGGAGTGAGCGAGTAAGAGGGAAGAGGTAGGGAGGCGAAACAGCCAGTCAATGGTAAAATGCATTTTCATTATGACAGGGACGACAATTATACACGGTTCAGCCTTTCCTTAAATATGAGGTGTAAGTGTTTGCATGCATGAGTCCGTGTGTAGCTAACAAGGGTTGAGCTTTTGTTGTTCATTTTCCAAACTTAAATCCATAACACGGACACCTTAACGATAAAAGACCTGGTGTTAGTGTGATGATTAGGTTTATTAATCAAACATGATGAACCAAAACCATTTTAGAAAGACACAAAGATAATCACATTTTTCAAATTTCGAGACATGAAAGTGGAAAAATCCCAAAACGGACATGATTTGATTGGCTTTACTGCTAAGGGTTCAAATCATTAATGCGAGGAAATTCTATGATACCATGTTATAAAGATGTGTTGGTCCAAAGCCATCACTTACAGATACTCACAGACGAAAGCATTGAACATTATATATTTGAAATGTCACTTTTTAAGAAATATAAAGAGCTGATCAAATATTCTCACCTGGAAGAAACCTGAGTAGATCCAAACTTTCCAGTCTGTCTGTTTCTCTCGGCCAGCTTTCGAACATCTGACATGCCACGGTCAAGGATTCATCACAGACACACACACATTACATCCTCAGCAGTAAACACATGTTTCAAAGATCTCCTCTTATACTTTTTGCAAGCAGTACACTCTGCCAACTATGTGTACAGTAGATAATGTCTTGAATACTCTAAATTAGGACTTCTCGTGGAATCCTATTCAAAGCCACCATGTGTACATTTGAGGATTTCCTGTGTGTTTAGATCCATGATCAACACATCCATACATTTGAAGTGGGATTGCCTTAAAGCTTGTTTCTCAAGATAAAATGTTTAGCCACTTCAATATTTTGAAACATGTCACACAACATACAATTCTACACATGCAGTGTGTGTTTAATACATGTTTTCTAATTTAATTAAGTGTTTTGCATATCTAAATGTATGCCAAATATAAAACGGATCTTAAGATGGAGGAAAGATATGTCATGTATTACTCAGGAGATTCAAACTGCAGACTTTCCCATCAGATTAGATCTGCGTTAGGATTATTGTAATGTCCTGTGAGCCATAGAGCTACATCAAGACCCTCTTTGGGCAAAAACACATATGGTAGCCGCCGACATAGAGACAGCGTGAGTGAGCAGAGATGATCTTCAGGGATAGAGAGCGAGATCACAGCAGCCTGGAGCTGGATCAATGGGAAAGCTTTTAACCACAGACACACAAACTCACACCGGCCCTCTCGCACACAAACACGTACGCGCAAATGAACGCACACAAAGGCAGGGCGATTGATGTCAAGTTGTCTAGTAATACACTGGCTTGTGGAGTTGCAAAGCAATTCAATTAGGATTTCCTTGTTTTTAAAGCCTGCAAAGAGCTGAGACAAATCCAATCGACAAAGAGGGAGAGGGAGAGAGGGCGGGAAACCGTGATAAGTTGATGGATGGATTGATAGCTGGAGAGCAGATCACAAATCAAGGAGGCCTCCAAGACACAGATACACAATAATATGTAGGTTAGCACATATATACAAGCCTGACGCACATCACACGCTGGACACCTGTGCATCAGTGTATTATGCATAGGGATGACAGGGCGAAGAGCAGAGCAGCTTACTGTAATCTCATCACCAGCACACCACTGGGGGAGAGGTCAGTGCGCACACACACACACACACACACACACACACACACACACACACACACACACACACACACACACACACACACACACATACATGAAGAAATAAAGAGGAAAAGGTGAAAGAGAGAGAGAGATTTGAGTATTATCGAACATTAATATTTGCTCCCATCACTTGAAGTAGACAAGTTGCAGCCAATGACATGCATCAATCATTCTTAATGGAACATTTCAATTGATTTCCAACATGAGTATTCAAGGTCACAGAAATTGCCTCTCTACGGTGTGCGTGTGTGCGTGTGCGTGTGCGTGTGTGTGTGTGTGTGTGTGTTTGTGCACTATAAATGAGGTCAACGACTCTTATATTTCACTGGATATATCTAAATGTGTTCCATTCACAACTTCTATTCCCACATATCTCCTCATCTATTTTCCCTGTATAAAAACCGAGCCATATCACGACCCCCTATCTCTTTCTATTGTAACCCTGGCCCGCATAATAAGGCCATGTGAGACAAACAGTGGGCATTAACACAAGGCTCCGACCAACAGCTTCCTCAGCGAGAGGAAACGCCACACAGTGCAGTGTGTGAATGGGAACATTTGGCTGAGCCCAGAACAAATTATGGTTTCTTTCTCAACGCTCACCCTCTCTTTCTGTGTGTGTTCGATCCATTCTCGCTATGATTTCACTTACAATTCTCTGTGTGTGTTTGTTCTGTGAAACAAAGCACTCGGTCAATGGTATATTGTTTGCATGCCCAAGTGTGTATATGCGAGTGTGTATGTGTTTTATAAGCACCGTAATGTTATTGTTTGGTCTTATTGTGATCAGTAAAGCAGCATTTTAGCCGGATGAGACGGAGATATTGTAAGCAGAGCTGAATATGGAAGTGCCATGTTGGTCAATTGGGAAGAAATGTGTATTTATATTTCCTCCTTTTATGAAAAAATGAAACATATCAGAGCTTTTTCTTTCTTATCTGTTAAGTTGTTTAGTGAATAAAGCAAGATCTACGAGTGTAGAAGAAAAGGGAGAACAATAATGAAATAAGACGGGGAAAAAGAGAGGGAAAACAAGAGGCTAACAAAGTGAAAATTGGGTAGAAAAGAAGAGCAAGATGGTTAACATGCTGACAGAATTGATCAATAACACACTCCAAGAACAAACGTTGGCCAAAGTCTCACCTCAAGATTTGTCCTAAAAACTTAATTATAGGCCTAAACCTTAACCACACAAAACATTTTAAACAAACTTTGATTGTTCCTGTTTCTAAAACACTCATCAAGCCCTTCCCCTAGCCTCAGCATTAGATGAAGTCTCAAACTAAATCTGACAGGATGGCAATTACTGTGCTCTTAACATGGCGTAGTGGGCAGCTGGGATTGGTAGATGCCACATTGAGCGCTGGTGCTGGGTATTTGTCACCGTGGGTGCCCCATCTGCTGCTTTTGCCTACAAAATAAAAGAGGTGGATGGCTATTCTTCTTTCAACCCAACAAAATCTCTAAATTCAAGGATGAAACGCCAAGGTTACGTGACATTGTCTCTGCTTTTTGTTTATGATACTGTCTTAGAGAGACACCGCACAGCTTCTGGATATAATCATTCATAGAGAAATTCATCTTATTCAAGTTTAGAAGGGATTCAAATATTAGCAGAATTGAATAGCAATAATAATGGCGTGATAGACAATAAACGCTGGATCAATCATTAATGGCTGATTAAGCACGTCTATTACTACTTAAGGGGTTGCAATTATGCTGTTGGTATAAATACACACTCAGTTTCCAATTCATTAGGCACACCTAGCTCAACTAATGGAGTCTGCAAGAATCATGAAAGAAATCGTACCATCACAGATGTAATTATGTTTCGTTTTTGTTGAAACACGATGGAGGAAGTTTGTGACAAACGCGTGCATTTTACAAAATGAAAAAGCCTAATTGGAATTCACCTTTTAACACATCAAATCTTACACTGCACATGTATAAGGTAGGTTAAGTTATATTTATTTGGGATGTCCAAAAACCACATGTGCCTGAATCTGTGTTTTTTTCCCCCCACATTGTTTATATTAATTCATCATGTTATATTGTTACACATGTGATATCAGATGTAAGATTGAACATTACAAAATCACATATGAAATTGATGTTACCACAGCCTAATCTATATCATCCAAATGAATCACATTACATGAGCTAAAACTGAATTTTTGTGTACAGGAATGCCCAACATCTAATTGAAAGCTCAATCAAAAAGACGTTTTTATAAATAAATGTGAGCTTTAGGGAATGAGGCACAGATAGAGAGAAAAGAAAGAGGGGGCGCGGATGATGAAAGGATACTCTGAATGGACTTCTCGTTCCCATCTGATAGCAGAACTTCCTTCACGTCAGCACAAATGGCAACCTGAGAGACAGGAAAGACAGACAAATGAAACAACACAGAACAAAAGAACCAAACCAAAAGCACCCTTAGATGAAGCAAACATCTGAACACACACACAATAATGACATAACCATATCTACAAAGCTTCACTCCTGGCAGCGCGGCCCGCCCCACCCTCTCTCTCTATTGCTCCCTCTCCTCCCTGCCATTTTCCTCTCTATCTTCACCCCATTTTTATGTCTGCATTATTTTAATCATTCAATCAAATCAGTCAATACTTTTATCATTGTGGCTAGCGGTGGGGGCTGCTATCTTGCTATCACTCTGTTCAGTAATTGCATTGTGACAGGGGATGATGGCAAGCGCAGAGCCTTTTCATTTGACGCTGGGTGTTTATCGGGCCGAGCCATCACTCCGTTCGCCGCTGTCACTCTGCACTCGGCTCGCCGGGCCTGCCTGATGCCCTTCATATAACTTTGCGGCGCAGTGTGTGAGAGGCGAAGAGAAAGAGAGGGAGAGGCAGCGAGACGGTAGGATGGATGGAAAGCTTTGTGCTGCGCCGTGTGAGGGAGATATAGATAGAGAGGTGTGTGCTTTACTATAACCTCATCATTTCACATTCCCCTTTCTTTGCAGATGCTTTTTTTTCATGTCAGAAAGTGTGTGTCAGGCTGTCAATTTCTGTTAAGGAGTGTGTGTGTGCATGGGAGGGTGTAAGTGCAAGTAGCTATTGTGTTGGTATGCACACACATCTAAATGGCTGCTTCAATGGCATATGGAATACATGATGAACCAAGTGTATTCAAATGTCTAAAATGAAACAGAACACACACATGCATGCGTTGACACACATGAACACAGACACACACACATGTTAAGGCCCTGCAGGGTGTGTGAGGGGGTCACTGAGTGCTGTGCGTCCCACCATCTGCTCAAATAGAGGAGGAGACCTCAGGGCTGAACCCGAGCATCCAGCTGAAAGATCAGGAGCCTAACGCTGACACAACCTCAAACATCACACACACACATGCAGAGCCAGGCTCTATCCAGAGGTGGAGAGAGTACTTAACTTAACAAATTGACTTGTACTGTAAAAAACACTCAATTAAAAGTAAAAGAACTGCATTGACAATGGTACTTTAGTAAAATAATTATTAAGTATGATCATGAAAATGTACTTAAAGTATGTAAAGTTATAAATTACTCAAAAGTACAGAAAAAAATCTCAAAATTGTTGAAAATAAATTTAAATATTTAAAAGAAAAAGCAGCACACATTTGATAAATCATTAAGTAAAAGTACTTAAACAATTAGAAAAGTACTTTATAATTCCTTTATATGTTAACTTGCTTTTTTATGATGCTGCTACTTATTTCTCTAACCATGGATGTGTACTTTGTTGTTATTTTTATTAACTGTACGTTTCCCCACTGAATAAAGGATTTCTGGATTTTGGGGTTAAGGCCAGAAAGACATATCTTAATCTAAATGTATGTGAAAAGGTTCTATACATGGATACTTTCTGTGATGGGTTGTTTTACATCTAAGGCATGAAGATGGGGAATAAGTTAAATATGATCTGAAACCTAGAGTGCAGTTTACCAGAAGCATGATGGAGGAATGTCTAATTAAGGAAAGAGGAATTCAAACAAAGGTCTGCAAATGGCACAGAACAGAAACACAAGGGTGAGGTAGAAAGGTCAATAAAAACAAAAAAGCAGGGTGCGAAATATGCAACAACTAAATAAATAATTTAAATAATAAGTAACGTGTGGTGTCAGTGACAGATGAGGGAGGGATGAGGAGAAGGAGAGGTGTGAAGGAAGGATTCCATCTCAAGCCACCAATGTCAAAACATGGTGTATTGACTGCCAGGAGATAAAAAACAGGCTTTCTCACACTCACACACTCACACACTCACACACTCACACACTCACACACTCACACACTCACACACTCACACACACAGGCATCCAGCAGATCGATGGGACACTGACGCCTGCTATGTGGAGGGGCCCTTAAGACCCTGGCTAATAAACCCTATGGCTGACAGACTGCGGTATATCTGAGTGTCAGTGTGCGTGGGCTGAGTCAATACAGGACAGCTTTTAAGACCCAATCTAGTTGGTACAGCCAGGAGTCACTACACAGGTGTGATTATGTGGATAAACATAATGAACAACACTTCTTATAATCATTTTAAATTATACTGTTATTCTGAAAAACTGGCTTCATGTCCAAACAAGGTAGTTTTAATTATTTGTATTCTGAAAATATAAACCATCTGAGTAAATTATGCAATGTTTGAAGAGCTTTTTGCCAGTTTTTATGGCATGTTAACAATAATTTGACATCAATCACAAAAACAAGTTGGTAAACAGATAACAGGTAGTGTGAAAAGATGCTTCAAAATGCACCTACTGTACGTACATGCAGGGTTTTGTGAGAATCTGTTTTTGATATGATCAAATGGATCAAGGATATACACACCTAGCATGTTAGGTGTTAACAAGTAGAGAGCTAATAAAGGCACATGTGGTTAAGAAGGAATATTAAACACACAGGCTTCTGTTGATTTAGAGTGTCTAAAGAGTGCACAAATACACGTATGAAGGTACAAAAACACACACAAGAAGTAAATGATATGTTCATGAGTAGGTATGGATACTGTGTGCCCATGCTGTTTCTGTATTGACTGAAGAGGGTCAATTTCATGAAGGAAGCCATGCCAGATATTTGTATATCTCTCTGTGTGTGTGTGTGTGTGTGTGTGTGTGTGTGTGTGTGTGTGTGTGTGTGTGTGTGTGTGTGTGTGTGTGTCTTACCATGAGCCCAGCAAGGCAAGTCATACCTCCTCCTAACTCACACACTGCACCCCTGAAAGACAGATAGGGAGAGAGTAAAGAGAGATTCACCTCAAAACATCCAAACCTAGCAGTTTAGCACACACACACACACACACACACACACACACACACACACACACACAACACACACACACACACACACACACACACACACACACACACACACACACACACACACACACACACACACACACACACACACACACACACACACACACACACACACACACACACACACACACACACACACACAGTACAGTAGATGCACATACACACACCCACACGCGTATGGTATCATGCCAACACATACACATACAGTAAAAACAGCAGGGTAAGAAATATCAATTCAACCATCAACCTGGAAGCTGAATACTGAACATTGAGAAGCACAAGCTCAATCAGCGGGAATCTGAGGAAACACACACACACACACACACACACACACACACACACACACACACACACACACACACACACACACACACACACACACACACACACACACACACACACACACACACACACACACACACACACACACACACACACACACACACACACACACACACACACACACACACACACACACAGAGTCCTGTAGCTTGCATGCTCATTCAACCCTTCTCTCCATCCTATTCCTCCTTTCATCTCCCCTTCCCCTCCATCTCTCCCCCTGTCCTCTTTCATCCCTCCCTGCCTTCCTCCCTCCCCTGCTGACCTTCACTACGCTGCTCTGATCAATACCCCTCTCTTCCTCGTCTCCCGCCTCTTGAATGTTAAAACAGGAAATCAAAGGGTGACGTTCCACCTTGAGTGGAAATCAAAGGTGCCCGGGTGCTTTTCAGCCGCGTGCCGCAGGGCAGGCCCAGCGCTCAGCAGCCGAGAGCCGGGGAAAGAGCAACGCGGGACAACACAGAGAGGCATGGAGCGGCACAGAATGACACCCAGCGTTTACACCGGGGCCCAGTCACATTTAAATGAACTGCTATCACAACAAATGCAATGCTTTCAATATGTTTGAAGAATATACGGCCATCTTACTGATTTGTATCATAAACAGACACGCTGGAGAGAGAGTCATTACATGCTTTCTGAATAATTTGTTTAAAATGCAATAGTATTTCTTTATTTGAGCGGACATTATTTTATTGTCATAACTATCTGAATTGAAATAACAATGCACCTTGACTTTCCAAACTTTATTACAACTTCAAAAACACCAATGCTGCTTTACTGACGTGCTTAAATACACAGCTTGTTTTCTTGGTGAAAGAAAGGTTTCAGGAGAATAACGACTCACTTGAACATGTGGCGTTTCTGCAGACAGTAATGAGCCATCACCTCTTCAGACGGCCACACACCTAAAGGAAAAAAAGAGACCAACGGAGAGTTAGAGACTCAGTTACTAACTGATGTTTATCCATTTTAGCGACAGATCTTTATTTGCAGGCATTTATAGCATCAATAATGTGACAAAGCGCTTTGATTCCAGTGTCTCAGCATCAGAACGCCTCAATATTGATATAAAAACAATGAGTGTTCACTGAAACATAATTGGATGCATTGTGTTTTCCAGTCTGTGTTCATTTGCTTCTCTTGTGGTTTCCACCTTGCCTGTGATCCAAGGCTTCTCTGTCTGTGCGTCTGTCTATCCTAAATCCTTGCAACACACTCTCTCATTGGGCACTGTGTATGCAAGTGTGTGTGTGTGTGTGTGAGTGTGGCAGGGGGTCCGGTGGGTGATAATCACAGCGTGCAGGCCTGTCTGGCTTATCACCTACTGTCAGCCCTTCTCCTTCTGCCGTGCATGTAACACACACTGACGCACACACACTTGCACACTTGCTGCTATGTTCCTCGTCTCTCAACACACATTCACAGAAACAAACACACACGTTGGCAGAAGAAGAAGTAAACATTCATTTGAATAAAACTTCAGCTTTTTCGCTTCTGGCTTTGAACAAGAAGGTTGGCGCTGTCCGTGTGTGTGTGTGTGTGTGTACATATGCATGTGTTTATATGAAGGAGTTGTTGAGAAAAGAGAATGAAGGGATAGAGAATGAGTTGGAGAAAGCCAAGCGAGGGAGACAGAGATAGAAAATGAGCGAGGTAACAAGAGAAAACTGGGGAAGGCGGGAGGGTTGGAGGAGGAGGAGGAGGGAGAAAAGGTGGTAGTCGATATAATAAGCGGCTTACAGACGGTCTCTCTTCACCTCATGGGGCAGACATCACTGCTCTCTCACTCTCCCTCTCTGAGTCTATCACTCTCACCCTCCGTCTCTCTCGCTCTCTCTCTTTCCCCTTCGCTCCGTTCCGCCAAGATTAGCTCAAGCAAGCAGGATTTAATAATGCCTATTGATAAAATGTCCAAATATTCCTTTTCCCCATTAGAAAAAAAACACGCTTTCTACGTCTTGGCCTGACTACACACACACACACACACACACACACACACACACACACACACACACACACACACACTCACACACACACACACACAATGACAGCCAGCTATACTGTGTGTATAGAGAGTGTCAAGACACGTAAGGCTTAAATAAGGTGACATTTTAAATTTCATCTGTTATTCCCCTTCAGCCAGGCGCTTGTCACACAGCTAGAAAACTTCATACTGTCATCTGCCACTTCGGTGAGAACAGACACGCTATATAAAATGTAGAGAAATAGTAGAAAATATCTCAAAATGTGTTGTTTGTTGATGTGCACAACACAATACATACATATAAGTTGAGATATCAAATAGTATCTGGATTTGTGTTCTTTTTAAATTAGGTCTTTGAAGGACAAGGCTGGATATATTCTATATTATGAGAACATATTTAACCATGATTTATTGTCTATCTCTCTATAAACTCCTAAGCCTTTTCGATCGGAAAAATCATTCATAATGGGTCAAAATGCAAGGTTACATTTATACAGTAAATGGCCAAGTCATTTCCTGAAAGAGATCAGAATAGTCGTTTTTGTAAAGTGTTTCTTAAACAGGAGCCGTGGATTTGAAAACACTTCGTTATTAGCAAGTTTAAGTACAAAAGTACAAAACCACATATTACCCTTATTCAAAATGTTATATAGATTATTGCCTCTATTCAATGTAAGTAGAATTTGGATTGACTGGGGTCAGGCACAGAGCAAAGCCTCAGTGTTTCCCTGATGAATGACAATCAGTAATTACATTCCAGTATTCACACGGCAGTCAGGAACAAATAATTCAAAGCGGCTCGGCTGCAGGACAGAGAATGGACACTACAGCAACCTCAATCTGTTTAATCCTCCAGGATAGGTGTATGAGTGTCTATAGCTCCATCCTAAATGTCTCCCCTTCCCCCCTTAACTTTGCCCCCTCCCCTTGTGATTGTGTGTTCACATGAAATGTAATGGGGGTCCCACCGCACACCTTTGCCCTGGGAAATGACAGTTTAGCCCCTCCCCCCTGTTTCCACACATGTTCCACCATGACACTTGACATCAGGGGCCACCCGGCACATCTTGGGCAGATGAACAGTAGAGGGTGGTAATGCAACATTAAACCGGGGGGAGATCTGCCACTCAGCAACACTGAGCAGGGAAATGATGGACACCCACACTGCATTTTCTATGCTTTTCACTCTGCTGTTGATTTTTTATGATGTGCACAAGTCACGAGTGGCATATAATTGGCTGTTGGAGTGGCCCCTATCCCTGAAGCTAAAGGGGAAGGTCTCAGAGAGGAATGTGGATGAAGCATTTCTCCTTATATACAAAAGAAGGACGTTTTCTTTGTTCAGGTGGTCTAAGCATTCCTATAGGGTTTATGTAAGTGTTAAACCAAGATGATTCAAGGCAATCTGGCATAAAGAAAAAAATACAACGTTGTCAGTGCAATAATGTACATTCCTAACAGGTGCCTCTCACCATGGCCTGCTCCTGCCCTGTAAACTCACTGCTGCCCATACTCCCACATTCACTTTCTTTCATACAAAGTTATGTGCCTGTGTGTTCATTTGCGTGAGTGTGTGAACATGTGTGTGTGAGAGACAGCTTTAAGTAATAAAGCTCTGTAAAGCATATGTGAATCTGATGGTTAATCCCCAACTCCAATGACATTAACAGCCCAGGGTGATAGTGTGTGTGTGTGTGTGTGTGTGTGTGCATGCAGGTGTGATAAGTATGTGGGGCCTGTTTGTGTGAATGCGTGCCTCCCAGGTCGAGGTGCACTGTAGGAAATGAAGGGATCAGGAGTAGAGAGCAGATTATTCTTCCTGAGGATAATGAAATTATTTCCCACCTTCAATTAATGGATGAGGAAAGGAAGCATCGCAGGTGTGTGTGTGTGTGTGTGTGTGTGTGTGTGTGTGTGTGTGTGTGTCAGCTTAAGTGTTTGGTCTCAGGCACTGAACCTTGTCAGTGGTGTTACCCTGGAAAACCATATGTGAAGCTTATTGGGGATCCTTGTTTACTCGCCACAGGGTTGCTTAAATGTAGGAATAACTTTTGATTTCAACATACCATGCAAGATGGACTCGCATATTTGAGTTCATTTTATGCATAAGGAGGCTTGTCAATTGTTTGTTTGCAACCATTTTTTATAGTAATGGTAATGAAATCTAATCATAATCTCAATTTAGAAAATGATGTGATAATTATTTTATTTGAAACACAGGTTTTAGCACATATGGCTGATTTCTATACTTCAATGCTTTAACATTTAACTCTGAAAAGAATCCCAAAGAAAGTGATGTCACGGTGATTTTTTACAAAATAAAAAAGAAACCAGCTGAATAAGTTGTGAGTACTGCAAGCGGTTGCACGCTTTCTATATTTCTTGATCATGTGCTTTCTTAGAAATCCTAAGGACATGCCTCATGGTGTGCGTTATAAAACTCAGACACAATGTAAACTGTAGTGGAGGTGGAAGGCCGGTTGAACCAATCAGATCTCTTGCTTGCAGCTACACGTTGAGTCTACTTTGCAGTGTTCTGGTTCTAAACCCTCCACATCCTTGTGACCCGGGGAACTCCGCGATTTAAGGCAGCGCTAATCTGGCCTCGGTAGCTGTCAGTAATCTCATGCACAGGGATGGAGTTACCATCCATCCCTCCGTTTCTGCTGCTTATCCAGTTTGGACTGCAATGGCAGCAGGCCGAAAAAGGTCACCCAGTCATCAGGTTATCCTCCCCCCCCCCCCCCCCCCCGGCTTCCAGGTTTTCCAGAGGAATCCCTGACCTTTGACCGGCCTGTGATCAGACGGCAGAGGGATGGAATTAGCTAAAGAGCTAATTCAAATATCTGGATCCAGTTACTATTTAGGGAAAGACAACCTTGAATAACTCACTAGCTAAGCCACGTTATGCTAACAGTGCTTAGGACAAGGCTATTACTGTACTCCTCAGTACTGAGAAATAATCACACAGCCCAAACACTTAACTTAACTCTTATTTAAAAGATAAGAGGACCTGCTTTTGTGACCTTGTGCTGAAAGCAATATAAAGTGTTGCGGTTATTTTTTTTGTTTAAATGTCTGCAAAGTTGAAGTATGTAGTAGAAAGGTTAAAAGACAGGCAGTGTATTGCAAGTCTGACATATGTATGACCTATGGAGGGGATAAAGTCCAGCCAAATAAGTGGTAATGTCAATTTTTCTCAAGACAAAGAGAGGAGAATTTTGGATTTTCTTTTTCAATTGTTGATGATGAGGGGAATGAATGAGGACTGCTCCATTATTTCTGTAGTCAAAACAAATCTTTGGTCTTACATGAAAGTTTCTTCATACTTCTAGTGTAACTGCGTTTTCACCTCTTTGACTCTCTGCATTTACCATCACAAAGGTGAGTTTAAGATCAGCTGACGGCCTAGTCGTGTATGCTTAACAATTGAATAACATGCTTTACTTATGTCAGGTGATGTATTTATAGTTACAAGGCGCTGATATATGAGGCACTGCTGTTCCTTAACACAGCTTGCGATTTTGCTCAGTTTCCTATATCTTTGGGGAAATAAAATGTGTTTTCTCCACCATTCTTTCAGCAGTCTGCGTGAGATCTCCTGCTGAGGACAGAATGCTGCTATAGTGATATAGAAAGGAGACGATGAGTAAAAGAACAGGAGGTAGATGATCGGAGGGGAGGAGAACGCAAAATACCGTGTGGATGGGGAGAATGGGAACAATCTTAAAAGGAGTGCAGATGAACAGCGAGGAGGAGGAGGAATAGGAAGGGAGGAAGTTAAGCAGGAAGGAAGTGAATGCTTAATAAAATATGGGGATGATTGCAAAAGGAGAAAGGAAAGGGGGAACAAGATGAAGAAGCAGAGGAGGAAGAGTGGGGAGAATAAGGCAGGGAGAAGAGAGAGAAGGAGGGAGAAAA